AACAATCATGGATATGGATACATACTTTTATTATCAATGTTTCTATCACAAGACCTTCTGACAGCAAAATATTCCTCTGAAATAATGAAAGTAAAATAAATTTATTTTCATGTATCTGTATAATGAATATTGACCTCTTTTCAATAAACAAAATGTGTTTGAACACAAATTATGATGTTCCTTTTCAAGATTGAAGTGAACCAATTCAACTAAATGACAGTCTCAATGATCTACATCATTATTTCTCGGATATGATGAACGTTTAAATCCAATCAACTAATAGAAATATTATACTTCTGAAATGTTGGGCTTGTAAGCATTTGACTAACTAAACAACCGTTAATATTTATTCGACAATCAACATACAAAATCATTTTGTGAAATTCTGTTATTCCAATTGAACAGTATTCTCTTAACTGAACTCATTATTGCCCGGAAATGTTACCACGATGACATTAATTTCGGTAAGTGAATAAAATGAATACTCTTCATCTTGATATTCTAGGTGTTCTAGTTCGAATCAATCATGATGTACTAGTACATTATTCGTGATTGTTAGCTGATTTGATGTTTGAGATGGTACGTGGGTTCAAACTTCATGATCAACCGATTATGATAAACAAGAATGTGTTTAATACCCAATAGTTAAACGACAGTGAATAAGAGGGACTGAATTTATAAGAACCAAGTAAGTGACAGAAAGATTTGGAGGACATCAAATATAAATTATTGATAGTTCATGTGCTTCAATAATTCAAACTGATTTCTCACACAACATCGCTTATTGTTGCATCTGTGATCAACTAAATTCGTTCAATCTATCAATAAGTGTCGTATTGATGAAATATCAGTTTTATGGTAGTTTGAACAGATTGAATAGTAGATAATTTCCGCCTAACCAATTACATTGTATGGTTCATTATTGCCACTCAATCAATTTGTGTCTATTTTGAAGTGAATCGCTGTTTTGTTTAACATTTTCCCTTCACAGTAATGAATACATGTTGTGAACACAGTTTAGGGCATGAGATCACACAAATAAAATAATCACTGTGTACTGACCAGCTCTCATGAAATAATCAAGTTAAACATCGAATTATTTATGCAAAATAAAAATGAGAAATGTAAAACATAAAACAAACAAAACTTCACTGAATAATAGTAGAACTAACCCTCATTCAAAATCTCATTTTTACACACAAAATCGCGGAAGATATAATTTACAATTTCGCTATAATCCCCTTGTCCTGCCACATAAATTCCACCTGCGTTTATCAAATGAAAATATACAATTTGATTAATAATCTATAGTGAATGAATGAAACACTTTGAAATTCACTGGAGACTGGAATGAATTGCATGAACTGTAATTAGTTTACTACAACGGTACAACGTGAACAAGGAAATACATTAGTAGATGTATTGAATGTAAAACAAAAAATGCCTAAAACTGATCTATTGATGTAATGAAAGCCACATTGATTCATGGAATTGAAATGTGAGCAAACAAAACTTTAATTCAAGGAAAATAATTCTCTTACCGTGAGTATTTATATATACTGAGTTGAGATCAGCACCGTAAAATTTAAAGGGGAATTTCAGATTTATTTGCTAGAAATATGCAAACATATGGTTTAGCATCTCCGTTGGAAAATGTAGTTAACTCACCTTCGCATTATCCAATTCCTCAAACTTTTCACTAACAATTGGAGAGGGCTGATTAGAACGAATGAACTGGGAATAGTGATAATAATGAGACTGAATATTTTTAATGCAACTTGACTGATCACTTACATATTTATATGTATCACTTTGGGAAATTACTTTTCCTTGACTAAGTAAATGAGCGTTTTCACAAATATCATGACAGTCGAAAAATTCCGACGTAAAGACAATGATTGAATAAATCGTTACCAACTGACCGAAAGAAAACTTAGATCTGAAATGGTTCAAATGAATAGAACAATGTTATCTCATTAGATCAAATTGGAATGGATATAATACAATCATTTGACTTAAGTATACAGTCAATACTCACATCATTTTCTTGTTTTAGACGTTGATAGAACGTGTTAAGTCTTATATAGAATTTTTTGGAAGTGTTTGTACGTTTCTTTCAGATTGGATGATTCAAATTGACCATTAAGATCATGAAATTTTATAAAATCATTTCAATATTATTAACCAATCGTCATAGGAGATGAACTCATGGTTATGCAATAGTCTTACACTTATTGAGGTAATATAGTCTGATATTGATCTATAGTTAATTGAAATTCCTGACCCCCCCACTATTGATGAAAACTATTTTGGATAGGATTAACACTATTTTAAACTAAGTAATTAGTGCTCATATTTTCATGAACAAACATTGTGTGTTACTTGTAATTAACTATGAATTGGTTGTCAACGATGCATAGCTTTGATGTGATTGGTTAATATCAAAGTAGCACACATTGATTTCATTAGATGACCAAAATTCACATTTTTATGTTTAAATTTTATTTCAATAGAATGAATTCTTTCACTGGTTGAAATAATGGATCAATTGAAGCTAGATCACTATTAAAGACCTAGAAGCACCTGACGACCGTTAGTCAGCAGTGCGCATCCACGATCCCGCCCCCCACGAGATCCGTACCCAGGACCCATCAGTATCTCGCACGAGCGCCTTACCATTAGATCACTGAGTAGGCTAGCATCTAACGGCGTTCACGTCTAACTTCAACCAATCCACGAAGTTGCGCCACCGTCATCATTGTCTTCAGTGAGTTGATATCTGATAACAGACCTGGTTGAACTCCAATGGTAGCGGCTTCTCACTAGAACTCCATAAGTGTCACTTGAAGTCAGTCACTGGTGAGGGTTTCATGCACGCGACACTGATAGGTCATGGTTTCGAATCTCACGGGTGGGAGAGATCGTGGATGTGCACTGCTGAGGAGCCCCTTACTAAGATGAATCGGCCATCTAGTGCTCCTAGGTTTTCCATGATGGTCAAAATTCAATTGACTCATGGTTTCGATCAGTAGAGTGAATAACAGTCTATACTTTCGTAAATCACTAATAAATTCATTAGAAAAATCCAACCTTATTTATGTTTTGATTACATATGTAAAATAGTGATTCTTGATACTATGAAAGTGAATTGTGCACTTCAAAAAGATGTTGATAATAACTAAAGAAATATTTCCTTGATTATTTCAACCTGTAATTGACTAAACGTTTGTTACATAAATTTGTATCAGTAATGTGAAGACTGCAGTAGTAGTAGTAGTAGTAGTAGTAGTAGTAGTAGTAGTAGTAGTAGTAGTAGTAGTAGTAGTAGTAGTAGTAGTAGTAGTAGTAGTAGTAGTAGTAGTAGTAGTAGTAGTAGTAGTAGTAGTAGTAGTAGTAGTAGTAGTAGTAGTAGTAGTAGTTGATTTTGATGTTTATTCATTTATGCCGTGAACTGTGATATGATTTTTCTTCTTATTTCAGCAACATGCGACACACATATATCTCGTGACGTCTAAAGAATTTCTACTTTCACCATGAGAAATCATAATTCTTTGTAATAAACATTTTGCATAACTCGTAGCGCTGAATTCTTATCGTTTAGATGATATTCTTAGATGAGAAGTTTTTGAAAACATAGTTACATATATAAACAATGATGAAAATTCTTATCTGCTATCATGGAAATAGTTGTAGATGGTGTGATTTGTGAATTAGTATGGTCACTTATTGAGTATCGAAATGACTTGTACTGAGGTTCCACATTTTTATCAATATAATAATACAAGTAATAATAATGTTGATAATAATAACAACGTTGTGTGATCATAATATGTAATAAAAGGAGTAGTATAGTCAAGGTAATTACAAAGAAAACGAATCAATGTGGATTAGGATAGAGGTAATCACAAAGAGAATTGGCATACTAGGTTTATAACATGAATTTGAAGTGTCTGGTGATTCAATTGTGGACCACGGTAATCATGAAGGCTGGATATACCTCTTCTGGATATATTAGTTCGGTTTTCAGGAGTTGATCCAGATGACTTCAGTTATGTTGAGTACACGTAGTCTAGCTCCTAATATGTTCTCATATAAATCGTGCTTTTGATTCAAGGTTTATTTACTGACCATGTCAGGTGTGATTTTTATCAAAATAATTCTGAAATCACTTGATTGGGAATGTTATATTATAAGTATATCTATAGATATTTAGTGATGGAATGTTTCGACCCGAAAATGTATGAAAATATCATTGTTTGTATTAGCAATGTAAATAACTGAGGTAAAAACGAAATAATTATACTCAGCAACATAGATGAACAATGAATGATGACGTATGATGACTGTGGTGGAGTTGAATTGCCTGAGCTCCAATATAGAAATCAATCACTCGGCACATAGAACATGGAAGAGAACATCTTTATAGATCAACTAATCAATAAGTCAGTTGAAAAGATTCAACATCAACCTTCTGAGCAACAGATCTTCTCTCTATAATCTCAATATTTGATCACAGTTTGCAATGTTGAATATGTAGTATTCTACTTTTATCAAGAGAACGCGATCGGTTTAATGGAAACAATCATTATTATAACAAATTGTACCAGTGATTGTTTTACTTTGCTCAGTTGTTTAGCTGTGCTAAAAACAGCCATATTACTGCTCCATTATCCTTCGATTGATTGTGGCCTTGCACGGGTTGGGTTACGCTCGGTAATCACGCTTGTACTCCTCTGGCACGATCTCGGTATCTATTCGATACCAAGTGATCACCAACAAATATATCTCCACTACAGCCATCATCTACCTTCTGATATTTGGCTTATGGGCGATTTTATCGGTTAACTGGCACGTCGTCTTCTTGTAGTGGTGTTCATAGTCAACCGCGACTCAACTTCACACTACAAATATCATCTTATCAAGTGAGTTGTAATGTGATCGTTAGAAATCAAGTAATTGGAAGAACAGCTTTATGATAATCAACATAATGAATGTTACATTTATGATGATGATGATGATGATGATGATGATGATGATGATGATGATGATGATGATGATGATGATGATGATGATGATGATGATGATGATGATGATGATGATGATGATGATGATGATGATGATGATGATGATGATGATGATGATGATGATGATGATGATGATGATGATGATGATGATGATGATGATGATGATGATGATGATGATGATGATGATGATGATGATGATGATGATGATGATGATGATGATGATGATGATGATGATGATGATGATGATGATGATGATGATGATGATGATGATGATGATGATGATGATGATGATGATGATGATGATGATGATGATGATGATGATGATGATGATGATGATGATGATGATGATGATGATGATGATGATGATGATGATGATGATGATGATGATGATGATGATGATGATGATGATGATGATGATGATGATGATGATGATGATGATGATGATGATGATGATGATGATGATGATGATGATGATGATGATGATGATGATGATGATGATGATGATGATGATGATGATGATGATGATGATGATGATGATGATGATGATGATGATGATGATGATGATGATGATGATGATGATGATGATGATGATGATGATGATGATGATGATGATGATGATGATGATGATGATGATGATGATGATGATGATGATGATGATGATGATGATGATGATGATGATGATGATGATGATGATGATGATGATGATGATGATGATGATGATGATGATGATGATGATGATGATGATGATGATGATGATGATGATGATGATGATGATGATGATGATGATGATGATGATGATGATGATGATGATGATGATGATGATGATGATGATGATGATGATGATGATGATGATGATGATGATGATGATGATGATGATGATGATGATGATGATGATGATGATGATGATGATGATGATGATGATGATGATGATGATGATGATGATGATGATGATGATGATGATGATGATGATGATGATGATGATGATGATGATGATGATGATGATGATGATGATGATGATGATGATGATGATGATGATGATGATGATGATGATGATGATGATGATGATGATGATGATGATGATGATGATGATGATGATGATGATGATGATGATGATGATGATGATGATGATGATGATGATGATGATGATGATGATGATGATGATGATGATGATGATGATGATGATGATGATGATGATGATGATGATGATGATGATGATGATGATGATGATGATGATGATGATGATGATGATGATGATGATGATGATGATGATGATGATGATGATGATGATGATGATGATGATGATGATGATGATGATGATGATGATGATGATGATGATGATGATGATGATGATGATGATGATGATGATGATGATGATGATGATGATGATGATGATGATGATGATGATGATGATGATGATGATGATGATGATGATGATGATGATGATGATGATGATGATGATGATGATGATGATGATGATGATGATGATGATGATGATGATGATGATGATGATGATGATGATGATGATGATGATGATGATGATGATGTATAAAGAGAATTGGAACCACTGATTAACATCCGTCTGCTAATGGAATGATAGAAAGGTTCCACAGACATTTAAAAGCCTTTTTGAAGGCCGCATGAGGGGATTACAAATGGGATGTCAAGCTTCCTTTGATACCATTAGTCATTCGCTCAACCATCAAACAAGACCTTGGTTGTTGTGCAGCTGAGTTGGTTTCTGGAACAACGTTACGTTTGCCTGGTGAATTCTTTGACCGTGCAACAGATATTCCAGCAGATATAACCAACTACGTGCAACAATTAAAACAGCCGATGGAATCTATTAGGTCCGTTAAACCACGAACTGAAAAGGTGAAATAATTCGTACACAATTAATTAGACAAATGCTCACATGTATTCGTCAGAAATGATAGAGTACGACAGCTGTTACAGACTCCTTATGACGGCCCTTTTAAAATCATCCGAAAGGACACTAAAACGGTTACAGTAGAAAGAGCAGGTAAACATGATACTGTTAGCATCGACAGAGTAAAACCAGCATTTTTCGAGAACACTGAAAAACAGACAACTGTAAAACCGTCTAAACCCGTAGCAGAGTAAGCACCATTCAAACTATCCGCAACAAACAATGCTTTAAATCAAAATTCAGCAGCAGCAGAAACTACAACAAGATCAGGAAGAAGAGTACACTGGCCAGATAGGTAGGTAGCAACCACCATATTTATCTAGACCAAATCCTGAGATTGCACTCATAACACAAAAGAAATCATACTTTATTTGGATTACTATTTTCTTTATTGGCCTCACGGATCAACATTATGCTTACATTTTAACTTTATACAATTCGTTAATGTTAAATATACACTTGAATGTACATGATATTAAACGTTTCAACACACAAGCTGTTGTTATTCAAACTTAACTTGTAACACCGATCGGAAGTGGAAAACCTGACAGCAGAACGTTAAGAAGATCGAGTTGAAGAGAATATAAGGGAAAGAAGAGAGTGTAGTCTGGAAGGATCATACAGAATGTGATAAACAAATGATGGAAATTCACAAATGAAGTATTCAGTGCAATGGTTGTGATATCTTATCCAGCTGCCAAATGTCCTGGTATGGATGACAGTGTATGTATGAATGTATGAAAATAACTAACACTTTTATCATTTCGAAGTTACTGTCTCAATTAATATTCATTGAACCGTAGATAAAGTGGCTTTATGAAGTGAATTATCACGAGAACTTGTCAATTTTCAAACCTACTTCATACAAACACCACAAACCTGTATATCGTATGCAGTGAGGAATAAGATTTGCAAAACAATTGCGAATTCTATCTGATTCATCTCATTGAATATAACATAACACCACGTTCTATCACCATTTCTCTTTACATCCGATAACATTTTCAAAGGTAAATTGATTACTCCTTCTTCAATCTCAGTGTCAACAACGTGTTTGTCTAATGAACAAAAACATATTTGTGTTGACCTCTTTCTTGTTTATGATTATACTTTGTTTATCATTGATCACCTCAGTCTATCTCATTAATCAAAAGATAATATGGTATTCTCTATTGTCTATTGTGAGTGTCATATGAATGTTGTTTATTTATTTGGCTGACATCAAAGATGAGTGAAATTCTCATTTTACATATTATTACTACTTTGCTAAAAAGAAGATGAAGTGAAAGCAAATGTTCTGGTTGTTATTTCATAAATGGTCTTGCTTCAGCTATGAATAAACACTTCAATCATCGACTATCTCAGTTGTATTGTTCAACTAACTTCATGTTTTATTATAAGAATAAGTGTTTTTGTGATTCCTGTATTCTCACACTCCTGGTAGATTTACATACACTGGATGAGTTGCATAGCGTTAAACATGAAGTGTATCTCTCAGCAGTAAGAAATGAAGATGGAGAGAGATTTGTAAATCTATATGCATTCAACAAATTGATTATAGGCATCACAACATAACCCCACAAATGCATTCACAAAGCTACACGAGTCTCACCGGATCACACTTCAAAGAATCAGACAGATCAAGATAATAAAAAACTGGCAGAAACCAAACAACAACAGCCGAACAATAACATAGGAAATCAATGACCGATCTGAATAAACGGAAGCAAAAGAGCAAGTGAAGAGGAGCATTAGAGCCAACAAGCAAGCGTACGTGGATGACCGAGCAACGAGAGCAGATGAAGTCGTAGCTGCAAGAAACATGAATCAACTATACGAAACGACAAACAAACTGACACCATCTCAAAATCATATGAGCGTAATACGCTTCTCGTTGTTCGAAAATGGGAGAATTTCGCCAAAAGGCAGGCTTCCACTCGAGAACAACTATATTTTCTCCATGAGTGTCTTCGCCAGCATGTTCTACCAACAAGTGTAAGATATAGACCCCCAATCAACTGCCCATTAGGATGGAGAATAACTGAGCAAAGTGGAAGAAAAATGGTACACCTCATGATAACGGATGCACACCACAGGATCAGCAAATACCAACACGTCATAGAGGACCAAAAGATAAAGCTACAAAGGATGCTCACATCAGAACATTTGGAAATCGTGACAACAGCCATCGAGATATCATGCAAACGACACAGAGAACAAAGAAGAAACACCTTAAAGAAAAAACTAAACAAGATCTCAAAACCACTCGTGGAAGAAAACACAAACAACTGCGTGATCAATCTATCAAAACAACAACTAACAAATATGGAAGAACATCTGCTCCAAAAGGGATTAAACTACAATACAAGCGACGCCTCAAAGCTGGAGTTCTTCGCAGCACTAGAGTCATCACTCGAAACTTCCGGAATCAGTGAAGAAACACAACAAGAAATAAGGCAAACAATAGTACCGATAACTCAACAGGTGAAAGAAAACAACCAACTGACTCCACAAGAACGAAAGGACTTGAAAGAACTCAGAAATAAAAAAGATATTGTCATAATACCAGCGGACAAAGGACGCACCACAGTAATCATGGATAAAGAAGAATACGTCAACAAAGCCGAAGAACTACTAGAAGATAAGAACACATACAAACTGATGGACACAAATCCCGTCAAAAAATTAGACAATCAAATCTCAAAGACTTTAAACAAACTAGTCAAAGCAGGAGAAATAACAAAACAAGACCAATGGGGAATGAAATCCAGTGGACCAGTACCCTCTCGATTCTACGGCAGACCCAAAATACATAAACCAAACATCCCATTACGTCCAATAGTAGCACTCCCCGGAACGCCAACGTACAATTTGTCAAAAAAAATTTCACGAATACTGAAACATCTAGTAGATTCAGCCAAACACTCCATCAAATCCCCAACACAATTCCTGGACCAAATTAAGGATATTCAAATCAACAACGACGAACTCATGATATCCTTCGACGTAACAGTACTGTTCACCTCAATTCAACAACAGTTAGCAAAATAAACTATATCCCTGCTGCTCAACAACGACACAAATTTCACCAAATACACAAAGCTTCAAATTCAAAGTCTACTGGAACTCATCGATTTATGCCTAAAAACATATTTTCAATTCAACAACAAAATCTACGAACAAACAAAAGGTACACCCATGGGATCACCAATATCAGGACTGATCGCAGAGGCAGTGATGCAAAGACTAGAAGCCACGATATTACCAGTGTTGAAGCCAAAAATTTGGATTCGCTACGTAGATGACACCTTCGTCATCGTCAAAAAGGATGAACTGGAAAACACATACAAACTGATCAACAACGTTTTCAATGATATCAAGTTCACAATGGAACAAGAGTCAAACAACCAACTAGCATTCTTGGATATATTGATCACTAGAACTGACTCAGGAAAACTGGAAACTCAAGTATATAGGAAACCGACCCATACAGATCAAATTGTCAACTACAACAGCAACAACCCAAGAGCTCACAAAATCAACTGCGTACACACATTGTTCAAGAGGGCGAGGACACACTACAGCACACTGGCAGCACGAAAAAATGAGGAGAAACATCTGAAGGACATATTTCAAAAGAACGGCTACCCAATCAACTTCATCAAAAAGCACTAACGGCACACAGCATCAGAACCCAAGTCAAGCAAAAATATCAACAAAAGGATCACCCTACCGTACATAAAAGGAATATCAGAAACCGTAACGTGACTGCTGAAAAACTTCGGGATAGGTGTGGCACACAAACCAACAAAATCACTACAATCAATCCTATGCAAACCAAAAGATGAAATAACAAAGGAAAACAAATCAAACATCATCTACAAAATAAATTGTACCAACTGCGACAAACACTACATCGGACAAAGCGGACGACCCCTCCACCTACGCTTACATGAACATCAATTAGCAGTCAAACGCCATGATATCTTTTCACTTATATCAATACACGTGGATAACTACGGACACTCATTCGATTGGGAAAATGTAGAAATCTTAGACAGAGGAAACTCCAAAAACACCAGAGAATTTTTAGAAGCCTGGCATTCAGGTCAATCAGCAATCAACATACATATTGAAATCAATCCAATTTATCAACCAATCAGGAAAACCATGCATAAATATAGGAACAAAAATCAAACCAATGGGAGACACAACCAAAACAAAGAAGTAAACAATGATAAATTTAAGGTCAACAAGAACCAATCAATCAGTCAATCATTGAGATTGAAGATCAGAGGAATAGATGTGTGGAATACTTCAAGCAACTCTTGAATATACGAGCTTTATTGAGTCCACCGGAGATCGAAGCAGCACATACTGACCTTCTTATATATGTCACTCTTGCTAATGAAACAAAGACCTCTGAGCTGTGTTTTAATAATGCGGGAATTCTGTCCAATTCATCGCATTGAATACAACATCACACCACGTTCTATCATCATTTCTCTCACATCCGATAACATTTTCAAAGTAGAATTGATTACTCCTTCTTCAATCTCAGTGTAAACAACGTGTGCATTTTCTTAACAAACATATTTCTGTTGACCTCTTTTATTTATAGAAACACTAATGATCATACTATGTTGTC